CCTCCTCCCCTCCTTCTTCACTGACCTTATTCTCGCTCTCTCCTGGCTGCTGTCGTGCAGCAGTTTTTCCCCCCTTCTTAAATGTGTTATGACAGAGGCGCTACCACCGTCACTGATGGGCTCAGCCTTGGCCGGTCCGTCTTGGAGCCGGCTGGCATTGGCTCTATCGGACATGGGGGAAGCTTCTAGCAGCTTCTCACAGAAGCCACCCCTGAGCCCCCCCGCTACCAAAACCTTGCCACGCAAAACCAATACATAAGTGTTCTGTAAAAACTAAATGCTATTTCAGTCTTCTGTAAGACTATAGGTTCCTCATCTGTAAATGAACAGTGACTTCCTTGTGAAGTACTTTGAGGGTCTCGGGTAAAAGCACAGTATCAGAGTTAAGTATACATTTGTGACAAAGTAAATTCCCTTACATGTGAATTTGAAGTTACTGTATCTGAAATGTGGGGATCATTCATGCATTTTATTTTTTTCCTGCTGTGTCCCTTGTATGCAGCTGACTAACATTACTAGTTGAATATCATAGTATGATGTCATATCTGAAAAAGAATACATTATTTTGCAATAATGTATTAAGCATATACCCATGTGCATTTTTTTTATTAATGTTTGGTTCACAGCTGCAGCAAGAGTCAAAATCAGTTACGCAAGAAGATAAGAAAAAGAAAGAAATTTCTAGTACAAAACCTGAGTCTGCTATTGAGTCAAGATCATTTAACAGAACAGAATCTTCTCCAGTAGAGTCTTGGAGTAATAAAGATCCAGTGCCTTCATCAGGTGAATTAAAAATTTAAAGTGTAATCTCAGGGCAACTTGCAAATTTTGGATTACTTGACTTAATTTTGTAGTTACCCTTGCTTTAAAATGGAGCAGACTGTCATAGCATATTATTCTTGAGAATATATGGTACACACTGTCATTTAATACATACTTCAGAGCCTCAGGGAGATGATAATTTTCTCACTGTGGACCCTGTCACAGTATCAGAATTCTTACAAATTTGTTGTTCTTTCTCAATAATGTTTTCTTTCACTCCATATTGCGTGGACTATATCCCATGTTAGCAATGAGATGATATCATCAAGTACTTCTGTTAAATACCTACTTTGAATTAGCCTTCTGTTGTCAGAATACCGTAAGTGTAATTTAAAGGATTACTGGATTTTTGTGAAAACAGCTAATTTGAATTAATTTCAAATACAGCTGATTTCTCTGTATGGGTTCCAGATCTTCAGATGTTGGTAAAAGAGGAATGCATAATGGACAAATGAAGCATTGGATTTTATTTTGCTAGGTTTTATGTAGTGATGGTCTTTGTGCATCTTAAGTAATTGAGATAATCGAATAGATCATGTAACAGCATGTTTAACCTGCAAATATTTCAACAGGCCAATTGCTAAGAGCAATAGTGGAATTACCTATTAAGGAGAACTAAATTTGTTTTAAAATATTGTTACATTTTTTAGGGGCAATTTCTGAATTTTACTCATCACTTAAACTTACTTACTTCTTTTTACTGTGTTCTTTACCAGAAAGCACACTTTTTTTCTGGAAAGCAAGCAGAACATATTTGGATGGGGATTTTGATTTTTTTTTTTTTTCCTTTATTTTCACTGTAATAGACATTCACATCTTTCTTTGCTTTGCCCTTTGCATTTTTTCTCATTTAGTTTGTGGAATGCTATGATCTGTTTCTACATTCGTTTCAGGCCAGACTGTCTTTAATGGGTTTATGTATATAGATATCTTCTGACTTTGCTTTCATGGGTGGAATTAGTTCATGTCCCTAATACAGTCAAAAATGTCCATGCCCTAAATTAATCTGTGTTGTCAGAGATGTTTATTTTCACTAGTCCAAACAGGGCAAAGCTTTCAGGAGAACATAGCATCCTTTATTAAACCAACTGATGTAGCAGGAAAAGAAGCAGACCTGGTAGTAGGAGGCACAGTCCTAGAAAACCTGCCTGTATATTCCCTTAGATCCTCTGCAATTACATATCATTAGATACATCAGTCTTGTGCCTTGTCATTCAGGATGAGTGTGAGGGCTCAACGTTTTAGTAAACTTAGTTCACTGGTTTTGGAAGTCAGGAAGTGAAACTAGGTAAAAGTGTTTGTCTTACTTTGGAATTCTTGCCATCTGGCAGCAGCTTCAGCGAAAATATTGATTCAGTTGGTGTTGGGAGACAGCTGTGCTCCTGGGAGCAGTGGGGGAAGAAAGACTGGAGATTTTTTTTTCCACGTCCCAAACTTTCCCTTCCTTTCTATGTGTCGGGCAAAGCATCACTATTTCTTCTCACCCTGCTGTGTTCAGGAAGTAGTATTAAAGTATAGAGAGTAGGAGGAAGACCTGTTCTCCATCCACTGCTGTATGCTAATAATTACAACATGCCTTCATTGTCCTGTATCACTTGCACAGTTTTAACTAGAACATACATATTTTGATCATTTGTAAGTGTTTGGTAATACAGCAGTTCTCAAAATGTGTCAATAAGCTTTTTTCCTACAACTCAAATATATATGTATTTTTTAATTACATTTCTTTAATATCTCTAACAGGAACAGTGAAGACACCAAAGTTTAAGCCTGATCCAAAACTTATGGACCATGGTCAGTCCAGCCCAGAAGATGTGGATATGTACAGTACTAGAAGCTAAGACAAATCTGCTTACAAATCTTTGCAAAGTATTACAGATAAGGGGGAGGGAAGAAGGGAAGGAATAATCCTTACAATACATACTCCGTGAGGTATAATTTAATCAGGTATTTTCTTATATCCCAATTTGTATTATTGACTTACATGATTTCTGTTCAGTGAATATTTTGTTTCTCACTACTTATGAGCAGTGACAGTTTGCTCATTGTCAGTGTCATTAGCGAGACACTGAGAAAATGAGATTTGTCAGTGTCCTCTCACAATGAGGTTTCTCTGTGCCAAGCTTGTTAATAAATGTCACTTCACAAAGGATATTTGAAAATGTAAACATATCTCTATACTTTGGCTCAGATGTTCATTGATCTAAAAGAATGTGATGGATGGGGTTTGCAGAGGCTTCTTTGTCTTTTTTCTCTCAGCTTTGGAATGAAGTACAACTTCTTATTGGTCTGAGTACCCTTTAAAAGTCGGTTGGTACATCATACGAATAGCATTATCTTTAACGCTTGTATAAACAAGTCACTTTTTTTTCATTGCAAAGTCATTTGTGGTTGTTTGTCTCTTTCACAAAGGTGAATGGAAACAACTTCTTGTCCTGCATGCTGCTTGTGTATTTAAATGTCACTTAAGTTGGGAAAAAACACACAGCTAATCTCTAAAACATCCTTTATATACTATGCAGAAGTAGTTTTCACTTACTTCTAATACTTTGAAGAACTGTATGCAAATTCCTCAATCCGTGAAACTGATACTGTTTGAATTTATATAGAATGCATTAGCAATATTTAGGAAGTTGGAAACCTTCTGTAGTTTTGAGGTTTAAAGTGCTGACAAATATTAAAAACAGAAGTAATAAGCAGCCAACTTTTTCTTCCCACAAGTTGTGTGCAATACCCATTGATCTCGGTAGGATTTCTGTGAAATTCTGTGAAATTTTCCATAAGAACGAAATTAGAATTTGATTAAGTTTCCTAGGATGAAACATTCAAACACTGCTTTTATCATTGTGTATGTTACTCTACTTCTGTTCGTCCTCCATTTCTCTTCAAAACACTCTTAAAAGGGTTGGAATAGATCTGGTGGTCTTCCTTGAACGAAGTGCAACTCATTATCAGTACGCAATGATAATCAGCCCGCTGCCTAGAGGTAATCTCATCTCTATCTACTGTGGCACTTCCCTAATATACAAACTGCAAAAGGACACTGTGCTGGTAGTTTGTCCTTCGATCTGTTGAATTCTGTTATCTTTCAATTAATGAAAATACGTGCTTTGTTGTAAAGTTGAGGGTGGGGAAGCAAGAACAAACTCTACAAACAGAGAGTTTGGTTGGAAGACTTAAACCTGAAAAGAAATGCTGCTTCATATGAATGTATTCTCAGCACTGGGATACGAAGGGATATTTGCTCCTGTTCTCCATAAGCAGAGATTTCACAACCTGATTCCTTCTTCTAAGGCTGCTAATGCAAAGGCAAATGACTAGTGAAGTACAGGCAAAAAGTATTCCTAGTGTCATTGTGGGACTAGTAGAAGTTTTCAGGAGATCTTGCATAATGGAATGTGCACAAGGCACAAATGATGAATGAGCCAAAAGAGTAAGTAAGGCTTTTATGATGGTTCAGAAACAGATAAGTATGGATATTTTGGAATCTGAATTTCAGGCAAAGTGTTGGACTTCGTTATACAGAGCCCAACAGAAGGTGAAGTCAGTAAATGTGAAGTTTAAAGGGAAGAATTCTATTAGTTAAACTTGCTTAGGACAGCTGACTTAGAATTTAATGTGTTTTGTTTCTTTAATCATCTCTTAAGGCCCAGGAAACTGTCAGAATTCAGGCAGCAATCAGAGGATATTAAATCAATCTTCACAGAGCTCCTGGACAAGACATATTTAGTGTTCCATCACAGAGAGAGGAGTAGAGAAATTAGATGGCTGGGCTTCATATACCATTTCCAGGGAAACAGATGAAGACATAAGGCAGGAAGTGAAAGTGGTGAAGAAATTATAATTTTCAAGTGCAAGACTGGATGGCAGAAATTGTATTATCTATCTCCATATCTGGCCCTTTGATCAGGTTCTGGATAAAAAACATAAAGGAAAAACCATCTGCTCTACTCCTAGATTCTATTTAAATTCTAACTCAGGTCCTTTGAGTGATATGCTACCACAAGAAGTCAACAAGAAAGGTAAGATGATGGAGGTTTGCTTGGAATTTGTAGGGGTTTACTGTGATGACATTTTTCAGTACACAGTGGGAAACTATGCTCAGGAATTAGTCTTCTGGGAGCAGGGAGAGAAGTTAGTTTGCTGTTAAGGAACAAGCATGTCTGCCCTTTCCAGGCAGGAGAAGGCCCTAAAAGACTGCCTTCTATTTGCAGTGCCAAAAGCTAGTCTGGCCCTCTCCATACTTTAAGGGCATTACCACTCAACTCTCATGATACAAATGGAAGTGTCTGGTCTGCAAAAGGTACATTGGACTCCTTGGTGGTTAGGCACTCAAGAATTAAATGTTTCATGCAAGCTGTTTGTATGACAACCCCTGATTTTACAAGAAGTTCGTGCTGTAAATGGACGTGATACACAAAGCTGTCCTTAGGCTGTATTTGAGTCTCAAATTACTCCTTAGGGCAAAATTGTAATAGAACTATGCCTCAGAGTTAAATTGTCGTTCAGAAGTCTTAGATACATTTTTCTGGGACATAACTTAAAATTATTGCTCCTACCCACTTTCATGAATGAACAGTATGAGGAATACAATTCTAGAGCTCATAAAATGGTATCTCTGTGCTGTGTCATTTCTTCTTGGTGGATGAGAGGAGTGAGCCAGCACAGGTTTATTCCAGTACAGGGTTTGTCTACTACTGTCACTTTTTAGTTTAGTTTTTTGGTCAGTTGAGATTTCTCTGTCTCATTCTTCCCTACAGGAGAGTAATTTTTTATTGTTTGTTTTCTATCAAGACTTTTTGTTTAATATCCCAACACAGTTGAAAAGCTGGGACTAAGATTAGAGGCTTGGGTTTGGCACTGAAACAAATACAGCTATAAGACTACTGTTTCCCTATCTACAGCCAAAGAAAACGGGACAGAAAAAGCATGAAAAGTTCTGTATCCTGTCTGGGTGTCTGGGTGTGTTCTCTGCTTTCAGAAAGACCATAATCAATCTCTCAGTTAGTATTTCTCTGTCCTGCAGAATAGATTTATTAGTAGTGGGAAGGAATTTTTTAGTAAAACCTGGAATATGATATAGTATAATAGTTCTTTGATAATATACACTTCTGTTAGCATCGTTGTCTTGTCCACCCATGTGAGACACATCATGAGAGAAAACTCTAGAGGTACCAAAAAAGGTGCAGGTTATTATAGAGAAATTTGGAATGTATTTGCTGAAATGAAGGCAGCCCAAATCAGATTACTAATCTGCTTGTGTACAAATATTGGAATGGTGACTGTGAATCTCTATTACTCAGCTGCTGTTTTGTGAAGTGTTTCTTTGTCAAATCTAAAAAGGTGCCCACCATCTTCAGTTCAGACATCTAAGCTCCGCGTTTTATCGAATACTCTACAAATGGCTTGTTCCATATAACTACAAGGAACTGTAGCCACATCTCTGTATTAATAATTTATAGTAAAGGTGCTATGCAATGGCTTTAAAAAAGCAAATCAAATCTACATTATGCCATGTTTGTGAGTCCTCATTTTAAATATATGTGCCTGACTTAAAGATTTCTGACCCAGTAAGCAAACCTGTTAAATAATGAAAAAGTAACATAAGTACACAGGAGAAGTTGCATTGCAAGACATGGTTTTATTAATTTATAGTAAAACACTTTGAAATGCCTCTCAAATGTATCATTAATAGTCACTTAAACGTGAAGCTTGACCTGAAAGTTCAATATAGTTTCTTTCATAATGCAGTAACATAATAAAAGTAAGAATGTATACTGTAACTGTTATATGATATAAGTTATATATTTTTGAAAAAAAACAATGTCTTAAAGAACTGGGTCACATGATGATTTTTATAATATAGAAATTTTTGTAATACAGAAATATTTTCAATTTAATGCATGGGTTTTTATTTATGATTGATTGTATTCGTTATACAGAGATTTGGAACTTGTTGATATTAATTTTTTATTTACATAAAACTGATTGTAATACTTTATTTTGTCATATCGTTGTGAAGCACCTGAAAATAAAGGGTGATAAGATCCTTTTTAAAAAATAAGTTTAACTTTTGTATGTTGTCTCATCTGTAGGGCAAATTATCAATTCCTTTTCTCTAGAGTACATTTTAAAAGTTAATTGGTAAACATGGCTAAGTCACACCTGCTTCACTATGTTGGGGAAAAAACTTCACCCCTGAAGTACTGAAACATACATTCCTGGAAGAAATCACTGAAGTAACAGGCGGGACATATTAATGCTCGATATTCAGCTGTTTATGCGGCTTAAATTTTGAGAAGTGCTTCCACTTTCTTTTCTTGGTAATTTCTTCTAAAGAATGCTGTAGCTCAAAACTTGGAAAAAAGGCAGCTTTTACCCATACTGGAGAAATGACACATATTTTTAAAAGAACGAGGCAGATGATAGCAAATGTGTTTACTTCAATATGGCTCCATGATAATCTTCCAGGTAAAGTATTTATGACTCTTGGATTGGCAATTTAATGTAATACATGGTGTAACTTACCGTGTAACTACTTAAAAGAAGAAAAATTGTGTGAAAAAGTAATGTGGCTATTTTAATGGCAGATCATCGTTATGATTCCTAAATAACTTAGGAAATATTGTAAAGATTTTTTTAATGCATAAGTATAGCTATCCTGTAGTGAAAGCTTGGAATATTTCTGAATAACATTGAAATACAGAAAATGTATTTTAAATTTAAAAAGAAAGTGGCGTTCTACAAAGCCTATACTTTTTAAAAAGTAGAGTTAGTATGCACTAGATTGTGTGTAGTTTTTATTTTAAATTCTAAGAAGCAAAGCTCAAATACGTGCTGGTAGTAAGCTACAGTCAAGAAAGACTGTAATCAAAACCATTCTAGAAGTTATCATATTATTTGTATTACCACAGTATTGATGTGCTTTTCTCTGTAGACCAGAGCAAGTGTACAAACCAAACTGAAATGCTAAGGAGAAGGAAATCTAAAAGTTGGAAAATTTTGTTGTTACAGTAATTTTTTTATTTGAAGAAACTTCTTTACGTTTTCAGGTCTAATGGCCAGATCTATTTGGTGTTGCAAAAAATGAGTCTATCAGTACATACTAACAAGTTGTAGAAGGAGAAGAGAAAGGAGAGGGAAGTAAAAGT